AAATTAGTTATAAAAATATAAAATGTTTATTCATTTGCCTATTATAGAGAATCACTAGTTAATACTAGTTAATTCAGGAATTGATGAATAATTTTTAACGAAAAAACATTTGTTCATTATACTAGGTATTAAGATAAATATAAAAATGGGTAAGAGACAAGCCCTGTCTTCAAGGACTTTCTTATTTAAAGAGCTTATAAAACTTTCCTGGATATTATCAAAAAGACAAAAAACAAGTGTCACGAAGATGTGGAGAAAAGGGAGCACTTGCACATTGTTGGTGGGAGTACAGCCATTATGGAAAACAGTATAGAAGTTCCTCAAAAAATTAAAAATAAAACTACCATATGATCCAGGAATCCTTCTACTGGGTATATACCTGCATTAGTCCATTTCTGTTGCTTAAAACAAAATACCTGCAACTGGGTAATTTGTAAGAAAATAAAATTTATTGCTTACAGTTTCTGAGGCTGGGAAGTCCAAAGTTCAGGGAATGCATCTGGTGAGGGTCTTCCTTGGTGGTGATTTCAGCAGTGCAGGTTATCACATTGCGAAAATGTTGGAACAGAGAGAGAGGGACTATCACATACTCTCCTTTTAAAGCCTGTTGGAGCAGAGAGAGAGTGTAGTGGATTGAATTATGTCCCCCCAAAACTCACTGAGGCTTGAATTGTCTCCCAAGTTTTTTTGTGTTAGAAACTTAGCCCCCACTGTGACTGTTAAGAGGGTGGGAAATCCTATTACAGTAATTGAAAGGTGGAGACTCGAAGAGGTAATTGGTTTATAAGACAATGCAGCAGTGAATGGATTAAAAATAGTAGTCATGGGCGTGGTTCTGAGGGCTTTAAAAGAAGAGGAGAGTCTCTCTCTCTCTCTCTGCTTCCACCATCTTGTACTGTGAGACCCCTGAGTCACTGTCGCCACCACCAGATGGACTTTGGACTTCCTAGCTTCAGAAACTATAGGCAGTAAATTTCATTTTCTTTTTAAATCATCCAGTTTCAGGTATTTCGTTATAAGCAACAAAAATGGACTAATACAGAGAGACTCTCACATACTCTCCTTTTAAAGCCCTCAGAACAACACCCCTGACTACCATTATTAATCCATTCACTACGGCATGGTCCAACAATCTGATCACCTCTTCAAGACTCCACCTTTCAATTACTATAGTAGGATTTCCCACCCTCAACAGTTACAGTGTGAATTAAGCTTCTATTGTATGAACTCTGGGGGACACAATTTGTGGCAGCATGGATGCACTTGGTGGTCATTATGGTAAGTGAAGTAAGCCAGGCATAGAAAGGCAAATACCATATGATCTCACTCATATGTGGAACTTAAAAAAAAAAAAAGTTGATAATATAGAAAAGAAACTGGGGAGGGGAGAATAGAAAGGAGAGGTTGACCAAGGGGAACAATATTACAATTACATAGGAGTAATAAGTTTAGGTGTTCTGTTGCACAGTAGTGTGACTAGAGTTAACAGTTAAGTTTTGGGGCCGGCCCGGTGGCGCACTGCTACAGTGTGCTGCTTGGGAGCACTGCGGCGCTCCCGCCGAGGGTTCAGATCCCACATACAGACCGGTTCCCGCTCACTGGCTGAGCGAGGTGCGGGAGCAACACCGAGGGTTGTGATCCCGTTGCCGGTCCCGGTCCGGTACGGGCGTGACACTGAGGGTTGCGATCCGTTGCCGGACACAAAAAAAGGAAAAAAAATAAATTTAAAAAAAAAAAAAAAACAGTTAAGTTTTGTATGTTACATAATAGCTAGAGAAGAGGCTTCTGAATTTTTTCACCACAAAGAAATGTTTAATGCATGAGGTGATGATTACATTAACTACCCTGACCCTATTCTTATACAACATATACACATGTCAAAACATTAGATTGTACCCATAAGTATGTACAATTACAATGTGTCAATTAAAATAAATTTTATATATATATATATATATATATATAGACAACTCTTGAAAAGAGCTGAAGATTTATAGTGACCAAGCAAATGCTGAATTAAAAAAACAACAGGGTGTAGATCCCCATACATGTCAGCTACCAAAAAACAAGCAAAGAACTGTGGCATTTATATTTCCCTTTTGTGGTTCAGTGGTAGTCTTGAAGATGGCAGTTTATGTTCCCTATGAGCACCTGGTCCCTGGTTTCAGAAGGAGCAGAGCATACTTTATTTACAAAGAGTTGCATTTGTCTATTCTAACCAGTCTGGGTCTACCAGAAGAACTGCTACAAGATGCTGGTCTCTTTTATTTCACTCAGAACTCACCTAGGCCCGAAAAGCTGGGCATTCCTCAAACATACTGTAAGGCAAATGAATAGCCTGCAGCTACCTGGGGAAAAGTTTATAGTTGAAGCATAGAGGACTGAAACTCTGGGAGGAAAAGATGAGCATTTCCTTGGGAAATTAGGATATTCAAAAGCACACTTGTATACTATGCAATTTAGAAAGCCTTACACATGCCTAGGGCAAGATGCACAGTCAGAATAAATCTGGTAAGACTCCTAAACTTTCACCTCTGGCTGATCTCTAGACTAAGGGCATGTAGTATTGGCCAGCCACAGGGGAAAAAAAAAAAAAAAAGAGTTCTAGACTAAGGGTATGCAGGAAGTGAAGGCTAAAGCAGAGTTGTAAACAGCCTGGCTAAGCATTGAAGGAATGTCCAGCACAGACTTATTCAGCAAAGACATAGTGGTTTTTGTTTTTGTCTTTGTCTCTCTCTCTCTCTCTTTATCTCTCTCTCTTTCACCTCCTGCCATTCTAGGAAATCTGTCAAAACACTAGGTGAATACAAGTGAAATGGAGACTTAAGAAACCACACATAACAAAGAATATAGACTTTACAACAAAGTAGTTTACAAAAGTCACTAAACTAACAAACAGTTATAGCAATCAACAAAAAGCAAACCCTGAGGAGAGGGGAGATCTGATTCCATTTCAAAATGTCCAGTTTCACAAAAAAATTATATAAACAGGAAATTATATCACTTTCACAGAAGAAATGAACAGGAACTCTCTGAAGAAGCATAGGCATTGGACTTAAACAAAGATTTTATTTTATTTTTATTTCTATTTATTTATTTTATGTGGCTGGCCAGTAGGGGTATCAGAACCCTTGACCTTGGTGTTATAACCCTGCAATGTAACCAGCTGAGCTACCCGGCCAGCTCAGACAAAGATTTAAATCAGTTATCTTAAATATTTTGAAAGAGCTAATGGAAACCATGGACATTGATGAACTAAAGGAAACTAGGAGAATGATGTATGAACAAATAGAGCATAACAATAAAGAGATAGAAAATATAAAAAGGAACCAAACACAAATTTTGTTGCTGAAAAGTACAATAACTAAAATAAAAATTCATTAGAAGCATTCTCCATCAGATTTGAGCAGACAAAATAATGGATCAGTGAACTTAAAGATAGGTTCATTGAAAGTAACTGAAAAGCAGAAAGAAAAAATAATAAAAAAACCAAATGAACAGAGCCTAAGAGATCTGTGGAACAGCATCATGTATATCAGCATAAGAATCTCAGAAGGAGCGGGGAGAGTGAGAAAGGGGCAGACTATTTGAAGAAATAATTGCTGAAAACTTCCCAAATTTAATAAAAGACATGAACCTGCACATTCAAAAAGCTCAATGAACTTCAAGAATGATAAACTCGAAGAGATCCACACTGACACATTCTAATGAAATTTTCAAAAGCCAAGGACAAAAGGAGAATTTTGAAAGCAGCAAGAGAGAAACTACTTGGTACACACAAGAGGACCATCAGTAAGAATAACAGCTACTGTCTCCTCAGAAAGCATGAAATCCAGAAGTGAGTGGGATATTTTTATTAAAGAGCTAAAAGGGGAAAAAAAACCCACAAAACCCAAAGACTATCCAAGAACTCTACATTGAACAAAATGATTCTTTCAAAAATGATCTGGATTTTGAAATGGATACATAGATATGACACCAAAAGTATGACTAAACAAAGAAAAAATAAATTGGACTTTACCAAAGTAAAACTTCTATGCATCAAAGAATATTATCAAAAAACTGAGAAGACACCTTACAGAATTAGAGACAAAATTTGCAATTCATATATCTTATAAGGGTCTAGTAACCAGAATATATAAACAACTCCTACAACTCACCAACAAAAAAAAAAACTATATATATATATATATATATACAATGGAGGACTATTCAGTAATAAAGCACAAACTACTGATACCTGCTACAACATAGATGAACCTGAAACATTATGCTAAGTAAAAGAGGCCAGATGTAAAAGATCATGTTTTGTATCATTCTATTTATATGAATAGTTCAGAAAAGGCAAATCTATAAGAGACAGAAAATAGGTTAAGTTGTTTCCTGAGGCTGAGGGTTGTAATAGGGATTAACTAAAAATGGGCATGGAGATCTTTTTGGGATAATTGAAGTGTTCTAAATGATCTAAAACTGGATTGTGGTAATGGTTGCACACATTTGTAAATTTAACAAAATTACTGAGTTGTACACTTAAAATAGGTAAATTTTATATTATATAAATTATTGTTTTAAAAACCATCAAGGCTGGCCAGTTGGCACAGTTGGTTAGAGCATGGTGCTGGTAACGTGAAGGTCAATGGTTTGGATCCCCTTACCAGCCACCTGCCCAAAAAAAAAAAAAATCACTATGATACTTGATAGTGACTTAGGAGTATTGGAATTGGCGTGGTAACGTGAAGGTCAATGGTTTGGATCCCCTTACCAGCCACCTGCCCAAAAAAAAAAAAATCACTATGATACTTGATAGTGACTTAGGAGTATTGGAATTGGCCTATCGATGGAAACAATAATGTTTCACTAATTGAAATTTTGTGGAGGTTTTGCCTATGCTATTCATTTCATGTTTTTCCTTTGTGAAACTTTTAATGATAATTTGTCGGTGTTGTCTTCTGTTTCACACAACTTCATTTGATGTATTGAATTTCTTTTTGTATGTACAGAGGATGGTTAGAACGAGAGAGCAGGTATGGTCTGCAACCAGGACACAATTGGTTTATCATCTCCATGCAGTGGTGGCAACAGTGGAAAGAATATGTAAAATACGTGAGTTAGATTTCTGTTTATCTATATTTCTCATAGAATTTTCAACTCCATCAAACTTTCTGTGACTACTGGCCAGTAATAAGATGCTCCAACTTAAAGATTTGAAAGGAAAGGAAATGAATATTTATATGATACCTTGCTGTGGGCTAGGCTCTGTGCTTATACTTCTACATAAATTTCTTCCCTTGCAGCACCCTGTGAGAAGAGTAATGTTGGGCACAGGGGTGCCTTTATATGTCATGCACCTCACATCTCATTTAATTCTCACTACATCCTGTGAGGAAGGTAGTGATATACCCATTTTACCTGGGAGGAACCTAGTGCTGAGAGAAAAAGTAACCTGAGTATCTTGCTTAGGGTGGAAGATCTGTGATCAAACCTAAGGACTGACTTTAAAGCCTGTGTTCTCTCAACTGCATCACTTACATTGTCCTTCATTAGTTCACCTTTTCCATCAAACATTTGAAGACCCTTGGGTAAGAAGTGTTGATTTACTATTGAAGAAAGTGATTTCTGAACTAACATTTGAAATTAGAATTTCTAGAAGATAATCTGCTCTTGTTCCAAATAAAGACTTAAGAAAGAAATTCTCATTATTGAATATTCTATAGTCTTATTTAAAACAGAACTTTTTTTTTTTTTGCACCCCAGAATTAGAAAACTGAAAAGAATAATGTCAGGAATCAGATGTCTTCATTCTTGGACAGCCAGTTGATATACAGACTCATCGTTATTTGCTAAACGATCACTAACCAAAATTCTCATAATTTGATTCATACTGTTTCCTATATTCTTTTCTGTCACTGCTTATTACCAGAATTTTGGCAGTTAGGTAGACTTTTTAAATTATCTACCTCATCATTCTTCCTTGTTCTTTTTTTCTTTTGCAGAGTTTAGTAGTGTTTTTACATGTAAAATGTATTAATTGGGAAATACGGACTTTGGTGTCTCTGAATGAATAAAAGTAGGCAAATAACTTCAAGGACCTTGTAGGTAGATAATGATGGTGAGTGTAGGTAGAAAATGCAAACATTGGGGTAAAGCATCGGTTATTATTTTAAAATGCTTTTTGGCCTTTATATTCTTAGTTTGGCCTTAGAATGAGTGGTTATTAATGTCTTAGTATAGACTCAAAGTATCACCCAGTTTTGTCTTGGATGTATTACTTTTTGTTTTCTTTAAGAACACGATAGAGGTCTTGCTCTTAGCAGTATGTCCCTTATAAACAGACAAGTACATTGACAAGATCATGAACACTGTTCTTGCCTGCCATAACACTTTTGTGCATTAAAGAAATTAGGGGAGGATAGTAAGGGAGAGAGATGCAGTGGGAATCTACATATCCCTCCCACCACTCTGACATGTTATATTAATGTCTAGTCTGTGTCTCAAATGCAGACTTGATAATCTACTTTAAAATGCAGGCTGTTATGAGAATCCTGGTGAGAGTATCAGTTCATATGGAGGGGAAGGAGGCAAAGAAATATGGCAACTTATTTAATGAGATGGGGAAAAAATGTAAGTGGAGTAATAGAAGTCTTTTCTGAAGATATGTATTACTTAGAATTGTTCTTTACAAAATAAAAGGTAACTTACTTTTACATGCAAATAACCTCAAAAGTGACTTTCTGGGCCTCATTTTTCACATCTGTAAAATGAGAGTAATAATAGTAACCTCCTTCATAGAGTTGCTAAGAGGGTTAAATGAGTTGGTACAAGGCTACTTCAAAAAGTTCATGGAAAGATTCATATTATCTTTTGATTCTATTTTTCCATGAACTTTTTGAAGTATCCTAACACTTCAAAAAGTGTCTCAAAACAGTGTCTGGCACATAGTAAGTACTAAACAAGTATTAGCTGTTATTATGAGAAATCAGTATAAGGTAATCATAGTGAGCTTGGACTCTCTGCCACTTGTTATATGACCTTGAACAAATTATTTGTCCTTTTCGTACCTCAGTTTCCACATATGAACAATGTATTAATAACAGTATCTAAAAAAATAAAAAGTATTTCAGTACAGCTCTTATGAGAATTATATGAGTTAATACATGTGAAATACTTAGCCCAGTGCCTAATAAATAGAAATCCTGCATAAGATTAGAGGTAGTAATTGTGGTGGTAGTAGAAGTAATTTTGGCAACAGCAGCAGTAGTGATTAATTCAAATTTATTTTTCCAGTACATATGGCAACTTTAACAAATGCCTTGTTTTTTAAAAATATTAGTGTTCTTAACATGTTGGATAATTGATCTTACTCTGGGCTTTGTCTGCCTCCCTAAGACATCACTTAGCTTTAGTTAGTGTTTTCACAAAATGGGATATTTGCTTATGTGAATTACTAATTTCTGTGAGAGCAGAACTTATGTTTTAGGTAGTGGTATGCCTCAATGGAAAGATCAGAGACTAAGGAAGTAAGCCATCCTTTCTTAGAAGGGGTTTACCCCAGATTTGCCATGATTCACCTGAGCTTGAATATGATTGTTTTCTGCTCAAGGGATCTTACCAATATTTTCCCTCTTTAATGAACCAAGCTTTTTTCTTCAATGAGGAATCTCCTGTAAAAATTTCAGTGGGAAGGAATGGTAAAATCTTTTGTGTTTATCATCACTGTAGTATATATGCATGTCTTCCTGTTTGAGAACTGTGAGGGAGCAGCTATTACTGTACATGTACACTTTTTACTATTTTGTTATCACGTAACTTTAGAGCTAGAAAATTATTTAACGCACGTCTTTTCTAAATTTACAAATGAAGCCTCTGAGGTCCCTTTAGACTTTATAATTGCCCAGAGCTGTATTAGGCAATTTCTTTATACCTGATCTAGAATTTTAGACCTCAAGTCTCCTGATTCCAGCCTTAATATTATTATTCCATACTGCCTGGCATTTTTCCAAAATCAGCATTTCAGACTAATGAAATACAAAATTGACATACCTGTTAGTTATATAAGATCATTAACACTTGTAGCATATGTATTTATGAGACACTAAAAAAAGTAGGATCACCAATAGAGAAAAAAGTGGATTCTGACTCATATTTTTGAACATATAAACTATTCATACAACTTGGAATCATAAAATCCTCAAAGTAGAATTCTTTTACATTAAAGTACCCCTTAGCCCTTTTAGGAATTGTTGACTCAGAGAAAGTGAGGAAACTTCTCACCATGGGTGAAACTTTACCTATCTAGAAATCTATCTGAAAGTGTAACCTTCTAGGATAACTTCAGATCGTTCCAGAGTCAGAAGTCAGTAAAAACAAAACAAAATCCTTTGATGTTTAAGAAAAAAAATTACCCAGATCAGCCAGAAACAAATAACACAGCCAAAAAGAGCCAGGGACTCTAAGATTCTACAATATATAACCATAACTGATTTGCTAAACATATAGAAAGAAAGTAGTGAAAAGATTACTTGAATAAAAAGATTAGCTATTTCACTGAAAGCCAAGAATCATAGAAGGAATAACAAGAAAAATAATGGTGGCGGAGGGAGAAGAGGAATGAACCTGAGTAGTGGTGATAATTTCAGGCAGTGGAAGACACTGAGAGCAACAGATTCTTAAAATAGAGAAGAAAGCCAAAGACAGTGAGAAGACAGACCACTCTAGTTTGGAGCATTGGGAAAGAAGTAAAGAAAAATCCGTATTCTCAAAGGCTAATTCACTGTGGCATGTTAAGTATATGGTGGTCAAGAGTTCAGATCCCTGGACTGGCCAGCTACCAAAAAAAGTATATGGTACATTTGGCAATATCTGGAGGCAAAGATTGCAGCCTCTGTAAAGCAATTATAATCATTCTATTGCTAAATTATTATAAAATTCAACCTAACAAATTTAATGTCTGGTAATATTTTTTTATCCTATTGCCAGTGATATCTATAGATTCAGCCTATGGAGTGAGCTGTTCAGAATAAGAATTATTATAGGAATGGTTTTATGTAAATTTTCTTTAGAAATATAGGCTATGTAAGACTTTCAAACTCATTATAGCATTTAAGATGCTTGAATATTACTTTTTTTTTTTTTTTTTTCATCTCCTTTTTGTCTTTTTTACTGACCGGTAACGGGATCGCAACCCTCATTGTTGCGTCTGCACTGCGCTCAGCCAGTGAGCGGGAACCGGTCTCCACATGGGATCCGAACCCTTGGCGGGAGCACCGCCACACTCCCAAGCAGCGCACTCTCCAGTGCGCCACCGGGCCGGCCCTTGAATATTACTTCTTGAAATTCTGTTCAATGCCAAACTTAGAGGAAAATCTGAAGAAAGTTGTTTGCTCAATTAGGGTTGCAGAGACCTACCTTCTTCAAAATATATTACTATAAAAATTTTAAAAGTAACTTATAATGCATAAATGAATATAAATGGAATAGGAGAGTGAGTACATGCCTACCAACCATATGATAGTTATGCAGATATCATTTAAGTTCAAGAACAGTTATGGCAAGAATAAAGTGATTTTTCTGGAGGAAAAGGAAATGACCTGAGAGAAGACTTTAATTTTTCTGAAAGGTGGCACTGTTGTTATTCTTTCAAAATAGCTATGCCATCTCTCACTCCATCTTTATGGGAAAGAAGCAAATGACCCAAAAGCTAATAAAAATCTGAATCTTTTTCTAAAAGGCAAGTTTCAGAGCAAGTCATGGATTCAATTACAAATCAGTTACTTAACTCTCAGCATCTGGAGCACATTATAAAAACAAATGCATGAGACTTTCATCCTCACTAGGGTAATGGTTATCAATTCTGGCTGCATGGTACCATCACATAGTGAGTTTTTTAAAAATGCCTTTGCTCCACTCCAGACCAGGAGAATCAGAAAACATAACTGAAGAAAAAAGTTGAGTTAATTTAAATAAGTCATTTATGTTTACTGAAAATTTTCTTTTGAAACCTAATTTAATATGTTTTGTGTTGGTATGGATTCAATATTAGAAAAGCTGTGAGAAGCTCAATATTATCTTTAAGAAAATAAACTACTTAGGCCTAATTTACATTTATACTTCTTTTGGCCATAGGTCAGTTTGTTTCTATTGCTCTCTTGTCTATACATTTTGACTTTAGTGAATAGTGAATAGTCCAAATTTAAAAGACAACTGGTCCAAAATCCTTATTTAATATAGATTCCTACTTCTTAGTCATTTGTGTACTATGGTCACCATTTTTTTTATTCAGTGCCCATACTATTATTTACTTGATATATATAAATAAGTTCATATAAATATATATAAATAATTTCACCATTTTTACTTAAATGTATTTGTAAAGAAAACTTTATATCCCTGTCTTAATTGGAAAAATCAATGTCACTTGCCCAGAGGTAGAAGGCAATAATGAGTAAATCCAGCTAAATAGTATTGCCTTTTTATTTATTTTTTTGGCAGCTGGCCCATACAGGGATGAACCCTGGTCCTTAGTGTTATCAGCACAGTTCTCTAACCAACTAAGCTAACTGGCCAGCCTAGTAGTATTGCTTTTTGAAGTTTCTGCTATTGAGGACTGTTCTCTTTTTGTTAAAAAGAAATTATCAGTTGTTAAGTTACCATATTCGAACCTTTTCCTTGAAGTAATCAGAGGATGAAAAGAGAGTTAATGAGGGAATAACTTTTTCCACTGTGAATTAGGGTTATTTAACACCCTCCCAAAGCCTGGTACTTTTCCCTTACTTTAGTAAAGTTAATAATTACCAGAAGATGCTAACATTTGGATCTGTTATTTATACTCCTAAATTATTTGGAGTTTTGACATTAAGGCTGTATTGCTATTTAAAAACTTAAATCCAACGTAGTCAGTTGGTATGTGGACAGAAACCAAGGTTTTGTTTTAATTCTTCTTGATACCCTTTTAATTAAAGGCCCTGGAATTTCTTCAGAGCTGGCTTCTAAAGGATCCATAGATTGATAGTGTTCATCTGGTTTACAGATCAAAGAGGAGAAAATAGCTAATAAATTGGGGGGGGGGGTTGTTTTTGTTTTGATGGCTAGTACAGGGATCTGAACCCATGACCTTGTTGTTACAAGGCTGCATTCTAACCAACTGAATTAATTGGCCAGCCTCTGATAAATTGTTGATCAATATCTCTTTATGTTGGATAAAATTAGGGATGCAGTAATTGCTTTAAAAGAAACAAAACCCTCAACTCTTTAAAACACTCACAGATACACGTTTTCATAGCACCGTTCTTTTTCTTCTCCTTAAGGCTTATGTCTCTGTGTTTGTTCACTGTTAAACTTAATGGAAAATAGTTTTGTGCTAGCGGTTTCTGCTTTTGAGATTTTACAATGTCCTGATTTTTCTTTCCCTCTCTGACCACTCAAATTCAGTGTCCCAACAACATTCTTCCACTACCTATCCTATAAATATTGCTCACTGCTCATTCTACATATGACATTTTCTTGTGCTTCAGGAAGTCTGAGCCCCACAGCTTTATATCCAGCCTCTTTCTCTGTCCTGAGCATTAGATTTGTATGTCTAGATATCTCAAACCAGAATATCTCAAATAAACTCATTCCTAAACCAATCTCATTCACCCATATACCTTATCTTGTAATGGTGTCAATTCTCATCTAGTCTTCTAAGCCAGCACCTCATGTTTTTCCTTGGCATTGTCCTTGCTTCTTTTTTGTACATAGTTGTCAGATTTTTTCACCTCCTACATCACTACGAAATCCATGCTCTTCTCTCCTTGTCCTTATTTCTGGCTCTATCTTGGTTTAGGAGTTCATCATCTTGCTTGAATTATTATAGGAGCCTTCTAATGTAGGTCCTAATTTCAGTTTCTGCCTCTAGTCCTTGCTACACACTGCACTAGAGTTTTTTTAAAGCAAAAATTGGATTATGCCATTTCCCTGTTTAAAAGCTTTTCACAGAAATATCCTATCAATATAATGTTAAGTGAAAGAAAAAAAATGCTGTATTTAAAATGTGATTTATTTATTTAACCACAACTATAATGATAGTTCATATTGTATGCCAGGAGCTTTACATGCATCACTCATGTAATCTTCATAACAACTCCATTCAGTAGATACTAGTATTTTTACCCATGAAGAAACTGAGGCTTAGAAATTTACTTGTTATGGAAGGTCTTATAGCTGGTAAGTCATAGCCATGCCCTTAACTCTTTATACTCCACTTATTTTTATATACACATTTTTTTCAGTCACAAGAAATAAAAAACATCAAAATGTCAACTATAGTTATTGCTAAATGATGGAATCTGAGTACATGTGATATTTATTTTCTTCATTTTTTCTGTATTTTTTACAGATTAACTCTTTATACTCCACTTATTTTTATATACACATTTTTTTCAGTCACAAGAAATAAAAACCATCAAAATGTCAACTATAGTTATTGCTAAATGATGGAATCTGAGTACATGTGATATTTATTTTCTTCATTTTTTCTGTATTTTTTACAGAGACCATGTAATCTTTAATAAAAAAAGAATAAATATTAATTTTTTAATATTAAAAAAGGTTTCCAACAGAGTAAAGTGTAAATTACTTTATGTGGCACAGAGTTCTTCACAGTCTGTTCCCAGTCTGCATTACTGATTTTATATACACTTCCCCCCCAAAGAGATTAAAATTTAGTTATAAATCAAAATGTTTTTAAATGTCTGTAGTCAATCATAGGAGAATTAGAAACAATAGATAATTGTGAGATTCAGTTTTGAAGGCTGCATAGTTATCAGATTATTAAATTTTGCTTCTTCTTCTCTGACTTAATGATTTTAGGATACCAACCCTGTTGTAATTGAGCCATCATCTGTTCTGAATGGAGGAAAATATTCATTTGGAACAGCAGTACATTCTGGGGAGCAGGGTGAAGATAGGATTGGAGGCAACCTCACTCATGTGAATACCACAGAAGAGAAATTTTCAGACAACATTTCTACTGCATCTGAAGCCTCAGAAACTGCTGGCAGCAGTAAGTTTGACTTGTTTCTCATGTGGTTTAGTCATGATGGTTGTTAAAGGACTCTAGTTTGGCAGAGGGTGTGGTGTTTAGGATATTGGGCATCAGGCCTCTATACACAGAAATAAGTTTTGAATGAAATAGTCAATTATAAGATTCTTGAATGTATTAGTAGCTTTACAAAGAAAACCTCTTTTTTTTATATTATCCTTCATTAATTTCTAAATATGAAAATATTTTTACTGTTTTCACTGATCAAACCACATCTCTCTGTATTGCTATTAAATTATTTTTTTAATGAATTTAAATTTAGGAAAATAGATTTTGAGAAAATAAAATTTTCTATCACTAGGGCTCTATGTAACCATAAGTATAAACATAGCTTTGTTAGATTAAATACACCCTCACATCAGATTCTATGGACATTTCAGGCCAGAATTTGGAGATTATTTTGTTAAGAAACTGAGAAAGAGTTTGTAATGCCTCCCCTCCCTTTAGTCCTTGATACTTACCTAAAACTTAGTGGTTCCACACTAATAGGGAAGATGGTTTGATGTTTTAGTGACCCAACTGAATTGAGTTGATCCTTATTCTCCTCCTGGTATAGTAGGAGGACCTTCAATTTTACCCTGTTGTTGTTTGCTCTGAGATTTTCTCTACTTTTCTGTGGAGAGAGTAAGCTAATTGGATAGAGCTAGCATTTTCTCTGTAAAGGTCTTTGTAGAATGTACTGCTTCTTTTCCCCTATCTGGCAATGCAAAGATCTCTTAGCAGTCCTAGAAGTACTCTGATCAGTTTTAACAACAGCATTATTTCTTAACACTGTCTTAGGTCCTGTTTAGTATGTGCGTACCATATAATGTGTTACCACAGGCAGGTTACAGAGTGATTGATGACTAGAATGTTTACCTGAGAGTTGAAATACCTTAAAATACCATTGAGGTTCACAACTCTAAGCCATCAATCATTTTCCTGTGAGTATTTTCCTATTGTAAAAATACCTTCCTTTCAAATAGATATATTAGTTAACAGTTTCTAGCCCCCTAGCAATCTTTAGTTGGAGTTCTTGTTTTAATTCCTTCCCTTTAATTTAGAGATGTCCCATCACCATTATCTACCAAGAGCATTTGGAATGTATTTGCAAGTAGAAGAAAAAAATTAAAGGAGACTATGTGAAATCCCAACTGCTTAGCCTCACCTCTTCTCTTCCTATCCAAGGACATATAATTCTCATCATGAATTATTAGATATTCTAGGAGGGTGTCCAAATGTTTGTTAACAATTTTTAATGGTTTTATTCTACTTAATGCCATGCTACAAATTGTCCAGAAATAAATACAATCGTATTTTCTATCTTTGACAGATTTATCAGAATCTAGCACTGTACTGACAGAATAATAACACCCAATACATAGACATTAAATTCATATCTTCAAACCTGTATATGTATTACTAAAAATAAGAGATTCCATCCT